GCCGTAGGTCTATGCGTGGCCATTGATCATATAGCGGATAGAGTGCAGTGATGAAGAGGGCACAGCGATGAGAGTCGCATCAATGCTCAAATCAAGGGGCAAGGAAGGGGTCCCATTTCTCGGGTTCTGGGCCGTTCCTCACGTTTCTCCTTCTTTCGTGTATCACTCACCATCGCTAGTTAACTTGGAATGGGTTGCTTTTTCATCGTGAATTCGTCTTTAAATCGAGCAACGCCACCACAACAAGTTTTCATTCCCCCCGGATACGTCTTTTGCTGCGCCGATTCGGAAGCTCCAGCCAAGTCAAAAATATGAAAATCAGGAAGTAAGCAGTAAACGAGTATTGTATCAGAAGCGGGCTGACTGTGTGAACGAAATGTCCTCCGTTGCAGCATTCAATTTTTTCAAAAACGTTCAGAGCGGAACCAAATACTTTGACTGATATTTTTGCTTGCACTCGAACGAGAGCTAAAAACATGGGAAGAAAGCTAATCCTGCCATAAACTACCATCCCCTAGTCAAATTAAACCAAAGATCAAGTGACAGTATGAAGTAATGCTATGCCGTTGTTGCATTCAAAATCCCGTGAAGCAAAAAACGAATTGTCTTATGAAAATCATGAGGTTTCGTTTGAAAGAACTTGTCGTAATGACTATATTCATCACCCAAAGTTCAATCTTCAGAGTCCCGAACTCTTGCGTCGAGTTGATTTGGCGAGCACTTTGATTACGAAAACTTTAGGAAGTGAGAGAGTTCCTTCCAGAACACATACTATGGCCCTCCAAAGGTGACATACTTCCAACGAAAAGCGGAAACTGCCAGCATCGACTGTTGGAAGCTTCTACATGACGACAAGGTCAGTGATGATGAGGGGTCTCCTGAGTTCTTTTAAAAAGCTATTCAGTTGAGCAATTATACGAGGCAAGTAGCAGCATCGCGGCCGAAGCTTCCCGATCGACACTTATCTACGCGCTGTAAGGAAGTTCGAGCTCGAGTCGTTCCTAAGAGCACACTTGAACGACTATATTTTGGAGTAGCTTATGCGCGAATAGTATACGAGGTGAATTCGGAAGCTTCACCCATTAACATTATTACTGATGTAATCTAACTGGCCTAATGCAGAGTTACGAGTTCATCGAAGACGAGCTCAGATCAAGTTATCATCCACAGAACGTCTTCTGTTATTCCATCGACTCCAAAGCGAAAAAGGAATTTGCAGACAGGATTGGAGCGCTTGCAAAATGCCTTCCCAACGTGATAGTTCCTACCAGTTACGTTCTGCCTTCAGCTTTTATATAGACGTTTCGATGACACTTTGTAATGCTTAACTAACTTCGGGAAGAATATGTAGAATAGTACCACATTTTGGTGGACGGAATCCTGGTACTGAATGAAGTGATGAACTGGGGCCGAAATTTAAATATAAACATAGATACTCAGAGGGGTCAAAAATCTTACCTGCAAATATGGAGGAGAAATCGCTCTTGAGCTTTCTAGGCAAGCTTTGAGCGGTCAGAGCCGGTATGCAGAAAAAGTGAACTGTATGAAAATAATAGGGCCTTCTTGGTCCTTTTTTGTCTGCCACGCGGTAATTTGTTGTTGACGTACAACACCTCAAACTTGGGTAATCAAACTTTAATACCACATTTCAAATCTCAAATTGCACGCACGACCTGAAAAATCAATGTTCCACATAAAAAAAAACTGTGAAAAATGAGCAGAATCTAACCAAAAATAGAATCTAAACCCTTGCCATGAGCGAGTCGCCCCAATCTTCCTAGGTCCCAAAAAAGGTGAAATATATGTAAAAGTTAAAAGTCGCATCGCAAGAGAAGTAAGGAAGAGAGCATCCACAGAGGCAAGTCAGTCGCTAGATCGCATAGGGATGCCCCCCTCGCAAAGTGGACGCCCGCAGAAAAGAGAGATAACGGCATCACATCACCACGGCTTATTTCTGATCCGCGAGCATTTATACTGTGTTGCTGAGAGCTCACCTCTCACAACATCACTGTTGAAGTTATGCCGATAATGCTCTTCAGCTTAGCCACAGCAGAAACATAAGAAGATAGCAAGATCTGATAGTGTGGGAGACGTAATGGAATTTATCCCTTCGCACGAACTCGCGGATTCCGCGATACTGTAGCCCCAAACTGGCACTTTCTGGGTCTCGTGTCGAAAGAGAATGCCATGGTCCTAATTACGGCGTTTACATGCCCTTATAAGCGAAGTTTCGTAGAAATTTCAAAATGATGTTAAGCTTCACTTTCTATACTGACATGGCTTTTCTTGCAAATTATGATTGCGCACAACTTATATGGATGCTCACGCAGCAGTTTTCGTCACCAGTTTTGTAAACCATTCTCGACTATATTCGTCCACGATTGTATCCATTCGAATTTCTATGGAATCTTGAGATCTCCTTTTGTGAGCATTCGCTGTGTCGGTTTGGTGTTCCTAAAACTTCTCCTTACTGTTGCATCACTCAAAGTTGAGAGTCCACTAAAATATGTTAAACCTTTTAATCGATAATAATTAAATATGGGTGCCGTTCAAGTTAAAGCTACTAGAGGGACAGATCGACAAACGAGGCGAAGGTGTATGATGTATTGGTGTTTTCTCTTTGGATTTTGTCTTTTCTGAGGTCTTAACAGTCGGTAGAGACTGGTAAAATCCTCTTGTAAAAGACGTGATATAAAAAATAGACTTGAGTATAGCTTAATCCTTCTTTCATACACGGAAATGTTTATAAAGGTTAAGTGAGTACATTCAGTAGCGGTATTTTGTTTTATATTCTTGCTTCTTTAGAGCGTTTCGACATTGGAAGGAAGGGAATTAACGGAACTCGAGCACATTACGAATGCATGAAATCGCTGATGGCTTACGAAGGATGGGGATACGTAATCCTTATGCAGGTTTCGCAGATGACTTGAGATATCAGCATAAGTTGCCTCGCACCCAATTCACTAAGAATTGTTTTTCAGAATTACGACGTCATGATCAAGACCGTGTACGAGACCGTCAATATACTACGAGCTCTCGGAGGAGCAAATGATGTGCACGTGAGACCATGTGAAAGTCATCGCTATAATAAATCTCTGAAATGGGATGTTCGCTCGCTGAAATTTTATCGAAACGGTGCATGACTTTCTTGGATTATGTTAGAAGAAATACGTAGTTGCCTTCTCTTCGATTTCTCTCCAGTTAGTTGCGATGATCAGTGAGATGCTTTGCTCGCTTCGTTTCGCTTCATTCTCAAATGAACGATTAAGAGGCACGAATGACGTCAGCACAGCTGAACGCGTCGTTGACATTTGCCCGAGGAGCTGCGCATGCGTCACTGTCACGTGCTGCTGCTGACTGGATGGTGAACACAATAGACCTCACAAAAACATTTGAACAGCTCGATCGCAACGTATGAACACATAATATATGCCATTGTTATAATAGAGTTCGATGATTTTTGAGACTTTTCTGTGTGCAGCCCGCTGAGATACAGATTTTTTTGTAACTCCAGACAGAGGGCAGAAATAAGCTGTTTAGGTATTGGGCGTTGACGAAGTTCTCATTCCAACGCTGCAAGTTAGTGATGACCTCGACATGCCGGGAAGATTCACAGCCGAATGTGTAAGGAAAGGGCACGTCATTGGTTTCATCACAAGGTTAGTTATTTCATTGTGAAACGGCCTTAAAAGGGTGTAAAGTTTAGTATACGAACAAGAACAAATACGCTTCGAAAGATCAAAATTAAATAGTTGTCTCTGATTTTTTGTTTTGTGTATTGGATATCTGTTGCAGTAGGTCTTCAACTCACACTGCTTTAATTTTGCATGGGTCAAGAAACGAAAATATCAAAATGATGTGTTATCAAAAGTATGCGAAAATATGTACGGTGCACATCAAACGTATTGTTTGTGTCGCATTCGTGTGTACAACATGAAAGGTCTCCACTGTTCTTGAAAGTTTCTCTTACGTCTATCACAATAATAATATCATAATGTAATGCTTAATATAATCACAGTCAGCAAAGCGTATTATGTTACCACCACTTCAGCTCCGCATGCTACCGCGCGCATTGCATCTAAGGCTTCGGTGAAACTGGACAGTGGGTGTAACGTTAGGTTCCACCAGTGAAAAATAGATTTCCTCATGGAATGCGTATACGCACCGTGGAGTACGGAGCTCAAGTGATGTCTGTAAAAAGAAACCATGCATCGAATGTTAGAATAATTTGGCGGTCCAATAATCTTTGATGCTAATAATGTTGAAATGGAATACCCAGTACTCATTATCATCTTTCTTCAAACATGCGTCGGACATTATTTGGAACACGGGGAGTGTACCGGTTAAATGGTAATTTTAGGTGAAGACGACATTGCAAATGAATAATGTTGAAATGAATTGCGTTATCTAAGATCTAAGAGATCAACTCCTGACGATTGCTGAAACGCGTGCTATGAATTTCGTGTAATTTCCGTTCTGGAGCCTCTTATTGGCTTTTATTAGTTGGTATCACTTTCTGTTCCCTACCAAATATGCTCCCGCCCCACCCTGCAAATCACTTCATAGAGCCAACGCCCTACTGCTGCTGGAACGAGCGCTATAATATTTCGTGAAATTTGCGCTCTAGCACCTCTTACCAGCACTTATCATTCGTTATCACTTCCTGGCTTCCATCAAATACCCGCCCTGAACATGACCTCTTGGAGCCGACGCCCCATTGCTGCTGAGACACACGCCATGAATTTCGTGACACACGTACACACACAGACAGACTTAGCGCTTCATATATAGTAGTGTGATAGACCGCTTCACGTGCTCTACACTCTATCCATAAGAAACTTGCGTGCAGAAAGCGGAAGTGTTTCGCATGCGCATTTACCTGCCCTTTCGCAGTTTAAAAGTTGACAAACGATAGTTGTCGAGCAAACTCACCTCCGCAAAGAAGCTCTAACCATCTAGTTTTCTCTACGAGATTTATCACTGTATACAGAGCGATGCCGAAACACTGTCCGCTTTATTTTAGGTCTACTTCAAAGATACTGGTTTTGCTCGAGAGCATATTTGTGTGTGAACATCAAACATGGACGCTTTCGCAGTCCGCTTTGAGACGCGCCATGCACTCGCTTGTGGTCAATAGTTGCAGGAGGCCACAAAAGTTATACCCCTCACCTTCTGTCGCGGAAGCGAACGTTTCGATTCTAATCGTATGATGGTCAGAGCTGGAGCCAACAGCTGTGAGCTTCATCACATCACACATTAGACTCCTCATGGCAAGAACCACCTCTCGTCATCTACACCCAAAACCTCTACGTACTGCAACGTTGACTCCTGCGACCTCCCTCTCGTGGCGGCCATGTACGACCCCAGCCGTCAGACTTTGTCCGACGGATGGTTGACCCTGGTTATAAATATCAGCCTTGTAAACCAAAACATCGGTGTTATGCGCGACGTTGTAGAAAGGATGCCGTACAAAATAGCTGTTGTTTGGCAGAGCGACTAATTTCGAAAATGTTCTGGCCTCCATATCCTCTATATTCATATTTCGTAGTCTGCACCGGCTCTCGATCTGACATCGCCGTCTATATTGGTCTCCCATTATTCCCTTACTTGACTCTACATCGTGTTCTGACTGCCGTTCTCCAATTTCACAAAAATTAGCTTTAAAAGATTATCCAATCACATTCACGGAAGTTTGGAGACTCTTAGACGGATAACTCATTCCCCTCTCCTTCTTCCCCCTCATAGCATAGCCCTAACCTCACCTAGAATATAATCACCTTCCTCTCACTCTTGCTCACTTCCTCCTTCCTCCAAATGAGGATACCAACGCTATCTTGAATTCGGCATTTTATCTTGCTTGGTTCAGAAGTAAAATTTTCGCAAGACTGACTGTACCCATGTCCCTAATGGGTCAATGATCAGTATAATGTATACCGAGCAAATAAACCAGACGAATAGTGAGAAGCTACGCGGAAAATGGTAGTCATACCTTCTTTTGTGAGAATCATGATATCCGATAAACGATAGTTGGTGGAATCGCGGCATCTGCTAACGGTCATCCTCTTATTTTGCCGTTTCTTACGCCGACATTAGGATTTTTTCTAGCAATGCCTGCAGATTCTTCTGCACAGACAACCTTTTATTCACATGTTGACAACAGAACCTGTCCTTCAATTTCATATTTGCGTTTATTGGCTTTAAAACGTTCATTATAACGTTCATTCAAAAAGGAAAACGTTGGTTGTGAGCATGTACTCAAACTTGTTCTAAAAATGTGAAAACAGTTGTTCCATGGTGAACGCCAGATTTGCGCAATGCAATCGCAACGCAATCGTATTGCGACACTCTTATTGCGGCGAACACTCTTCTGTTACACGCAACATACTTAGTCCCTTTGAGGCGCAAATCTTTGGGAGTTTTTGTGTTGATCGCACAAATTTCTATCAATGATAAAGAATCTGAAGACTTCGCTTAGCTTTAGCACAACGTGAGTTCAGCGGTCCACAAGATGGCGCAAAATTACGTGCGCCATAAAAAACGTCCTAACTTTATTTTTGTCCAAAAAATTTGAATTCGACCATAAAGCAGCTCAATACTCCTAAATTACCACCAACTTTTTCCTTCAACCCCTGGAACATTTTTAATTGGGAAATACCTACAAGAATCCCATTCGCTCAAAGTTTGATGATTTGGAGCAGTATCAGTGCTTTGGGCCATCATTGGTTTTTATCGATAAAATCATGGAAATCAGTGCAAAGATATATCGCAAAGAGGTCCTCAAAAAAGCTCTGGTGCTCAGGAAAGAGTTACAAAAATGTTCCTTTCTTTTTCTATGAACAAAAAATAAAGCCAGGATAGATCCCTAGGGGCGCGTAATTTTTCGCCGCCTTTATAGGCATTCTTCTTGAAATGCGCACATATGTGGTGAAACTACGGAAGTGCCTGTGGTGTTTGACTCTATTTCGCCGAGATCTCAGGCTGAAAATACAGTTTCGAGTGATGTGGATATATGAACATCCCCGGGAACGAAAAAAAAGCAAAATTCCTTTCTCACCAAGAGCTGTGTTTTATGCACTACTGAGTGAGGTGATCTAAAAAGGAGTGAATAAGGCGAAATGTTCGATGAAACGATGAATATACGATTCTATTTTAATTTTTATTTAATAATACGATTCTTATTTTAATTTGAAGAGTGGAAAGCTGGCAGTACGATAAGAGTCCAGAGTGCCGCTCGAAGCATTATCGCCATGCTGTTTGTGTATATGGTATAGAAGATTTCGTCTGGCTCGCTAGCCATCCAAAATTGATGGCTAACAAAGTAGGAAAGGTAGGGAAATTTCAGGGAACATTGGTAATCATACATCTTCAGATGATGCCCTCATTCGACTATGGTGCTGTGGATTGTATGCATGAGCTCATCTTCAATCGCACCCATGTTAGAACAAACGATCATATTTGGAATCTGAAGCTCTACAAAAATCAGCCCTATGTATGTATTGTATATTTTGCTTATTTAGTCAATAGCCGGAATGCTGTTCCGGGAGTCCATCTTACTCTGGATGGAACTCACACCCAGGTATGAGTGGAGACGCAAACGATGTAAAGGCGAGCTTCAAGATTAGGGACGCTCACGTCTCCATCCCCGATCGTTGTAGGCAGGAGTTTGCTCCGCCGTTAACACCTTAAAGGGATCCGCCGTGGGCTACCTCTCTGGTCGTGCGACAGAACCGCGACATGTTGCTGCTCAATGTGGCTGGCGCTGGATCAACTGGAGCTAGCGGTTCGCGGAATTTGTTCGATAGGGGACATGGTAGGACGTCATCGAGCGTCTCTTTTGCTTTTTCTTTTCTTTTCCAGACCACTCCCCATTTCCAGCTTCATCATCGAACGCTCTTATATACAGCTTATTATATATCGAGGCTTGCCTTTTATCAACAAATGATGTTACCATACCGTAGTCGTAGAAATACTCATGCCGGCGAGGTACACGATCTGGACCATCAGCTAATCTTGTAATAACACATCATAAAAGGGCGTTGTAACACGAAATGAATCAGCTCTGTAGGCTTTAAATTCCCTCACTGAAATGATGTATTGTAGAGGCATTTCGAGGTTTTGAGAAAATATTTTGCTGAGCTCTCGAAACAATTCTTGGGTGTTGGTAATTTTTTGGGAACCATTTCTTTTTTACACTAACACAAAATGCAGAGAGTCCCAATTTGTGAGTGCTCCCACAACAATGTAACTTGAGCTTCCAAAAGAAGAATGCCAAATGCATAAGGACAGGTTCTAACTGCATTATGTGCATAATGTAAACCAGTCAGTCAAATGTCTCTACTGCCACTAATTCATGCCCATAGTGCTTCCTTGATTCCTCACAGATTACTTGGAGGCAGTTAGCTGTGACTATGCAAGATCGCTTTGTCCAGTTTTCCAGATAACGTCACAGTGTAGTTAGTCCCTCGACGACCTCGACCTTCCCATGCACTAATTTTCATGGGAGACTCTTCTGATTTCGTCAGTGTAGAAGCTATTATGTGGTGTTTCGAGAGAATGGGAAGTGCTCTTCAATTTTCAATTGGGCTCACTCGGTTTGGATTTGGCAACGTGTAACTAATTCCGTTTTGAATGTGGAAGGGATAGACTTTTTTCGTCACTTCTCTGTAGATAAATCTGTGACGTTGGTTACAAACGCGAATCCTCTTCGAGCAGACACCATGTTCTCGACCCACAGGCATAGTTGAGGTGGCGCTTGACACGTGAATAAATAATGTAATGCTATGAGTAGTCCAGGTGAGCCGATGAAATGATTAGTCTGGCATCCCTAAACATTTCTACAAAGATTGAAGCTATCTTCAGCAGAATTAAAGGAATCTTTCACAGAAAAAGCTCCGCCTCCATCACCACAGAAAAACGATACCTTAGGCCCCTAGAGCTTTTCCCGTGGAAGACTCCTTCAATTCAGCGTTCAGCCAATGGATCATGCTACCTCCTTCTTCGTACAGTCCTACCAATTTTCGCTTTGAACTAGTAATTGTAAGAAGTGTAAAGATGGGGGCTGTAGCCCTTCTTAAAGGGAGGGATTGCGCCGACCAGCTATTACGTTGATGCGGGCTTTTCCGGACTTTGGCCCTTTTCGATACTGGCTCTTCAGTCACCACCAGCATTTTCATTAAGAGAAAAAACTAAGAGAGAAATAAATTGAGAGCGGCAGTTGACAAATTCTTCATGTTTTATCCTATCACCTTCTGCAAGTGAGAGAGAATGGACAATTTATCAAAATCTGAGTGGGCACCAGTGATGCAAAGGTTTTGGAAAACGGCAATTCGTTTTCATATCTCTCGATTGTAGTACTTTTTGCGATGTAAAGAGTTGACTTCTGGAATCCTTGACGGGTGCAAAAGAGGAAGCAGAGGTTAAGACAGAAAGCCATCGTCACTTGAAAGCGATTTCAAAATAGAGACGAAATTCGATGGAGGGCAAACATGCTTATTGTTAGTGGAAAGGTAGGCAGAGTCGTCAAGGGTACGGAACCCATCCGCCGGTCTGGCATGGCCATCCCCGCAACGCTGTCGGTACGCACACCGACTGGCTGACCATTCGCTGCAGGTTTTCAACCCCTAAGCAGAGGGGGCATTACCATTAAATAGGGGCCACCGATGTGGTAATAAACGGATAAGAAAGGGGTCTCATTTCACGGGTTTTAGACTCACTCTAATAGTTTTTTCTTCACCAATTTAGCTGCCCACGTTGCCTTGCGCGAAGGACCGCTGCTTTTAACAGACTTACTCATGGGACATTATTGAGACGTCACGCAAAGATGCAGCAGTTTGCGTCTCAGCCTCCTTCTCTGATTCCGCTAATTTCGAGTGAAAGCCTAGTGTTTATCTGCAGGGAGATTTGCTAAGATTTCTTTATATCCGAATGAATAAGTATAGGTGTATGTACGTCGGTGCGTGAGCACTTCGGACGGAAGGTAGCATATTCGAATTTGAGAGGGGAGGCTTGAATTTGGGATTTGCACAGAGCAGGGTTGGGGCACTTTTCTTCTAGAAATTTTGCGTGTCATTTTTTGAAGAAATTCCCGTTCTATCAGATATTTCCCCCGCACCGCTCAATGGCTACTTTCTAAGGGTAGCATGGAAACTTCTAGTGAAGTGTGTCATTGGTCTTAGAATTCAATACTATACAGGGGTGTCCAGAAAAAAAAGACACTTAACCTCTCAAATTCTTTTCACTTAACCTCTCAAACTCAATTCAAACCATCAATAACACTTCGGTTCGAAGCAACAATTACAAACGTGTGGGGGATATTTATGAATTTGTATGGAGCGAACAGACAAACAAGGTGTGGTTTACAGGGTGTGCAAAAATTACGGTAACAAATGTTTGTCCCTGTCTTTTCCAAAACCTAGACAATTCTATGCATCTATTTCAATAAGTCCGAGTTCCATTCTGATTTCATCATATGAATATATTAACTTCGGAATTCGTAATCTTTTAACTCCTTGAAAAGTCACTTCTTTGCTCTGACGAGCTGCTTGGTTGCGTTGATTGCAAAACGACTCAGAAGCTCTTCAAAATTTCCGTCGACCATAATTACAAAGCGACCATAGCTACAAAGTGAGTTCAAAAGCCTGTTCGCCAGTTTCAGTAGGCCTGGACATAAAAGGTTTACTTGTGCAACTTCAATATCTCGTGCAAACTAAATATGCACTGGAAGCCAGCTTGCTCATTACGTCGTTTATTCGTTGAAACTGCTGTTGATCACGCTTTTATGAAGCGTATTATTTGCACGCGTCTTAGCAAAAGGGTCGACAAGCATAAAAATGCCTAACTTCCGGCTATGCATGGGCTTGAGCAGAAATCAAAAATGCTAAAGGAAATTGTCTCGCTTTCCTAATGAGCTCCACATTTCGATTGTTTCCCTTGATGAGAAGATATTCTGTGTTGGCTCAGTCTTGATTAAGAAGAGCAATCGAGCCACTGCTGGTGAAAAGCCAATTAGCCATTCTGGTTTTCGCAGAATCAAGAGCAGGAATCACGGTTTAGAGATATTTCGGACCTCTGCTCAGTCAAATTGCTTTTTTTCTGACCAATTTATATTGTTAGCGTAATTTTTCCCTACCCTCTATATATAATATAATATAATATAATATAATAATATGATTCCGGCACAGCCGACCACCTCTATGTACATTTTGATGGGCTGCCCTTCGATCTGAACTTCGCCTTTGGAATGGTCTACCCGGCAGTTAGAGTAGAAATGCACTGCATAGTACAAATTGTAAAGCTGGTGTCAGAAACCGCGATCCGCTCTTCGCGATTTTCGCGATCTGCGCGATTTGCGCGATAATATAATATAATATAATAATATGATTTCCCCGCGACAAGCGACCACTCTATGTACATTTTGATGGGCTGCCCTTCGATCTGAACTTCGCCTTTGGAATGGTCTACCGGCAGTTAGTAGTAGAAATGCACTGCATAGTACAAATTGTAGAAGCTGGTGTCAGAAACCCGACGATCCGCTCTGCGCGATTTTGGCGATCTGCGCGACTTTTTGCGGCGATTTTCGCGACTTGCGCGATTTGCCCGATTTTCGCGGATTTCCTCGATTTTCGCGATTTTGCGAACCTGCGATGGATCAAGGATTGAAGGTGCCCGATGAGTACTGGGCGTGGTGTTGCTTAATGCCTGGCTGCCGAATTTTGCCATGACGGTGACAGACTTGAAGCAACGGAGTGTTTGTGGTTCTACTTGTTTCATGTTCAATGTCTATCAGTTCATTGAAATGCTCTTGAATAGTTCCTATTTTTTTGTTTTTCTTTCATTAACGAAACCAAACCAATCGCAAAAATTGCAAGTGCCCCATTTAAACAATTTCACTGGATATGAAACAAGTGGAATCATGAGCAGTCTTCATTAAACCATAACCATCAAGCAGAAGTCACGGCGGGATTGGAGAACACCTTGCCGTATTGATGGGGCACTTGAGATTTCCGTGACCCGTCGCGACGAAAATCGCGCAAATCGCGTAAAGAATCGCGGACTCTGACATCAGCCTATCTATTAACACATTGCGTACCCAGCCGTTTTTGCGTTGGCGAGCTCGCATGGCCGCGCGTGCTTGCGCACGCAAACCGTGCGCCACATGGTGGCGCATGCGGCCACACGAAGCAGACATTTCTCGAAATTTTCTTTTAAGGGTATTTTTCACTTCCTTATCTTTAATATCCGGTCAAAGCACAATTTCATGGAAACTGTGTCATATTTTTTGCTTATCTGGCTTGTAATGTACGTTTTAAGAGCTAACAATGTTACACAACAACGACTGTGAAGGATCCAAAAATCTGCTTTGCCCAATTTCTCATGTCTTATAAGGCAGCTTTGATGAGCTGGTCAGTTTCACTACCCCACAATCTGCGGTATAATGTTAATTGAACAGCAGTGACGACTAAATAAAGTTGCAGAATATTTTGCCTTCCTTTCGCAAAGATCTCCTGAGAGTGTGGATGCATTACACCCATAGGTGCCGCACATTTGTTATCAAAGTTTAATACCAGGGTAGACCGAATTTTA